CCCCCCCCCCCCCCCCGCCCAGGTCACACAGCTGAGAAGCCGTGGGGCTGGGCTACACCCCAAGCCAGCCTGACCCCCGAACCCTGCCCTTTCCTCCCCTGCCCTTTCTACTCGTGCCTGTGGAGTCCACTCTCAGGGCCTGGCCACCCACTGAGTTTGGAGTCCATTCCGTTTCCGTCCCCAGCCCCTCCCTCCCTGCAGGTGCCCCGTGAGGCTGAGCCGCCCCCGGTGGAACCCATGCATCTGGCTGCTTCTCACCCCCAGCCCTTTCCTGTAGCCCTGGTGCCTCGGGGACCAGGGATCCCCACTCTGCTCCGGCGGGGGGGGGGGCGGGGGAAGAGGGGGCTCAGCTGTTGCTGCCCCTCCTCCAGGCTGGTTCTGTGGCTGCCCGACCTGCCAGCTGACCTGCGGTGGATGCGGGGCGAGCTGCGGCGCGGGGCCCTGTGGGTGTGCTCCGGGCTGAGGGACCAGCTCCTCGCGAGGCTCAGGTGAGGCGCAGCCGGGTGGGCAGAGCCCAGCGCCGTCCTCGGGGGAGGCACCAGCTGTTCCGCTGACCCTGGGCAGGCAGCTCACACCCCCCTGGGCCCGGTCAGCCTGCAGGCCCCTGGGGGCACTCGCCATGCCCCCTGGAACCTTCCCATCACTACCAGCTCGGCCAGAACAGGGGCTCGGTCCTTCCTCATCGCGGGACTTGGGGGAGGAGTGACCCGGGCTCACTGGGGCCAGGCTGCCCCTCATGGCTTCCCCCTGCCCTCCCCCCACCCCCAGCTCTGACCACTGCTCTCACTGGCTTCTGCTTCCTCTGCAGCCCACCTGTCTCCAGCCCGCTCCCACCGGAGGCAGCTCCTCCCACGCACCCGGCCCTGAAGCGCGTGCCCCCTTCCCATCAGGCCTGAGGGGCACCAGGCTGGCCGGCCCAGCGACTGGCCTCTCCCGGTCTGTCGTGGTCCTTGTCCTGGGTGCCCACGTCCAGGCCTTGAGTGAGGCCTGGTTCTGACTCAACCTCCAGAGCTCAGAGCCTCGCCCCTGGCCCTGGAGGACCGAGGGGCGGCCTCCCTTCTTCCTCTCAGGCTCTTGTCCCCAATGGTGTGGGTGGGTGGCCCTCAGGAGCCAGAAGGGACCCGCCAGCCCCCCTGCAGCCCCTGCTCCTTGGGGCCGGCTCCCTGGGCCCAGCACTTCTTCCTGGGGAGAGGCCCAGCCTGTTGGTGCACCCAGGTCACCCGCCCCGTCTCATCAGAGAGAAAGGAAGCAGAAGCTACGCACATCACATCGTGGTTCTGGCACTGCCCTCTGGGGCCTGGCGGCGGCCCTGCTGAGGAGAAGGGCTGGTGGGGCGCCTGGCAGGGCTGCTGGCAGAGTGAGCTGAGCGCTTTAGAAGGCGGGGAAGATGCTCTGCCCTGAGATCGGGAGCAGATGGGGGGATGGGGTGCTGTGCCTGCCCTCACATCCTTTCGCTGAGTTCTCTGTCCGGCACCAGCCCTCGGGCATGACCCCCGTGGTCTGCTCACTCCTCAACCTCGATCTCTCCCTTCCTACTGGGTCCACCCAGCGAGAGCCCAGAGATGGGAGGGGAGAGGAGAGAGGTTAAAGGGATTAAAATCTTTTCGGAATCCCAGCTGTGCGTGCCTCTTTGGGGTGCCCACCGGCGGCCCCTACAACACCAGGCAATTTCCTTCCTCATCCAGTTCCTCATTTCCTGTCTTTAAAACCAGGGGTTGGACTAGCTGGTTTCCACGGGGCCTCCAGCTCTACTCTGAGCCCAGAACATAAACAGTACCTCGCGGTCAGATGCAGCAGAGGTGACTCCAGGAGGGACTGGCCACAGCGGAATGGGCTTCTGACTGGGTCTTCGTGGACGCCTAGAATGTGGGTTGGCAGAAAGCCATTCCAGGAGAGGGGCCTGCGGGGGCAAGAGCAGGCTGGGGTGACCCTCGGTGAGTTCCACTGACGAGGAATCTGAGGCTCCGGGGGGCAAAGTGCCTTGTCCCGGGTTCCACAGCCAGTCGGTGACGGAGCTGCCACTCAGGCTCAGGTCTGGCTGAGGCTCCATCCTGTCTGCACTTTAGATACTGGGGACACATGGCGATTCCGCTCAGGACTCTTCCGCCGCAGAGAGTCCGATGTCACTGATCTTGACCTGGACCTGTCGGAGCGGGAGTGTGGTTGGAGCCTGTCGTTTGTGGGCCCTGGTGTCCTCAGGGACCACCCTGTGGGTGTGACCACCGGCCTGGGCCAGCACCCTGCGCCTCAGACTTGCTTGACGTTATCTGTGGCAAGCAGGCTGGTGTGTGCCAATCTGTGGCCGTGGTCACAGGATGCTAGTGGGGCAGCCTGTGTGCCAGCACTAAGTCCTGGTGACCTTAGGCGTCCCCAGGCAGATCCCTCAGCCCCGCTGAGTTTTGCATCTCACCCACACATCTGGTTGTGCACGCTGACCGCATGTGTGGTGATGTAAAGGGACAGCCATTCCTTCTGAGTCGTGTTAATGTATTGGGAATATGTTTTCACGTGGTTCTGATCCTTTAGAGATCACCCTGAAATAGTTATGAATGAAATGGCACAATGCACGAGATTTGCTTCACAATAATCCTGCGGGGGGAGGTGGGTGAGAGTTTGATGAAACACGAATTGCTAACACTTGGCACTAGGTGAGGAGTCCATAGAAGTTCGTTACACTCTTCTCTCTAATTTTATGTGTTTGACATGTCTGTAATAAATGAGTACTTACCTTAGAACTTCGACAGTACATACAAATAGGAAACTGCATCAAGAAAGCACATAAAGCAAAAGCAGGGCGACCAGCAGTCACGGCTTCCCGGAGTCACCGATGGGGAAGGGCGGGAGGACCTGGGGAGCTGTCCAGTTCAGCACCGCGGACAGCGACCCGCGGCCGCCTTTCCGCCCAACCGGCCTTCCAGCCGCTCAGCTGCCTCAGGGATGTCAGAGGGCAGAGCACTTCCGGGCCCACCTTATTTAGGAAAAGGCTTTTCAGGACAGAGCTCTCCAGCCTCTCCCACACGCGGAGATGGAGCGTCTACACCACCGGGCAGACCAGGCCTTGCTGGGCAGCTTTGTTTCCTAAGAAGCTTCTGTTCCCTGCCCTTAAGGATATCAGTCAAAAAACGAGCCATCATACATGTGTGTGCCTATTTCTGGGGTCTCTATTCTGTTCCATTTAAATATATGTCTATGCTTATGCGCATCCCACAGTGTCTTGATTTATAGCTTTCCTATATAGCTTTTAGAAGCAGCTTGTTAACGTTAAAAATATTTTTTTATTGGTTTCAGAGATGAAGAGGGAGAGAGAGAGAGAAGAGAAACATCAAGGATGAGAGAGAATCATTGTTCGGCTGCCTCCTGCACACCCCACACTGGGGTTCCAGCCTGCAACAGGGCATGTGCCCTGACCAGGAATTGAGCAATGACCTTCTGGTTCATAGGTGGACGCCGGCCAGGCACAGCTTGTTAATCTCTACAACAGAGCCTATTGGGATGTTGCTTGGGATTGCATTAGACCTGTGGTCAGCAAACCGCGGCTCGCGAGCCTCATGCGGCTCTTTGGCCCCTTGAGTGTGGCTCTTCCACAAAATACCACGTGCGGGCACGCATGTACAGTGCGATTGAAACTTCGTGGCCCATGTGCAGAAGTCGGTATTTTGTGGAAGAGCCGGTATTTTGTGGAAGAGCCACACTCAAGGGGCCAAAGAGCTGCATGTGGCTCGCGAGCCGCGGTTTGCCGACCACTGGCATAGACTCTACAGAGGAATTTGAGGAGAATGAAACTCCGATGCAAGATTAAAATGTAGGCCTTCTTCTTCAAAAAGCAGGGGAAATGCTACTCAAGGTACTAAAATAACTCCACAAGCTCTCAACCAGTCAATGTGGTTATTGTTTGCTACCGGTAGTTCATGTCACTCTCTCAACACTGCATTACTCGTAGGGCACCTGCAGACCCTCACAAGAGCCTGGGGGACAAGCCCCATGACCCCGAGAGCTGCCCATCGGCTGCCCGTTTCCTCCTGTCGGCTGTGGGACCCACACATCACGCCCTGGCTGGGAGCGGGGAACTCAAGTCAGGGATCTCCCCTTCCCACAGGCCTGCCGCCCCAAGGGTATTGCCACCTCCACACTAGACAAATGGGCACCTGAATTGGGGGTGGGAGAGAGGCTCACTTTGGCTGATTCACCCACCAAATGCCCCGGGTGCTGCCAGTCTAGGACAACGATGACAATGACGGCCATAATCATGCCCCACTCTGAGATGCCATGGGGGGTGAGCGTCCTTTTCAGGCCCCATGGTCTGTGGGGAGGGGCGAGGAGAGAGGCTGGGCAGGGCGGGGGCACTGGAGGACAGGGGAGCGGGCAATCAGGAACTTGTCCAGAGGAGGCGGCAGTGGGTGGAACCGCTCGTGCTGCGAGGCTCCAGGTCCTCAGCACGCGCTCCATTACCCCGTCAGACTGCACGATAGAGCGCAGGTTCAAATAAAAGGTTCACGAATTTCGAGACGGTGACCACAGAGCATTAAACCCCAAGTGCAGGGCCCTCTGGGGCTCCTTAGTGGCATGACCATGAGGCAGGCCCTGCAGCCCTATCTGTCCATCTATGTACCCACTTCTATCTCTTTCCGTAGCTGCAGTATACGTATCTATCTGCACATCTATCTCTATGTACACTATGTCTAAATCATCACGTAACCATCACTGGGAGCAAGATCATGTTCCCAACAGGCTGGAGGGCACCCCTGTGTCTGCTCCCATTCAACCCTCTCCCTCGGGCCCACGTTAAGCACTTTCCTGGCCTCTGTCACCATAGATGAGTTTTGCTTGTCCTTGAACTGTACGTGAATGGGATCATATGACATATCGCCCTTTGTATTTGGCTTCTCTTATTCATCATTTTTAAAAAAATATATTTTTATTGATTTCAGAGAGGAAGGGAGAGGGAGAGAGAGATAGGAATGTCAGTGATGAGAGAGAATCATTGATCAGCTGCCTCCTGCACGCCCCACCCTGGGGGATGGAGCCAGCAACCGGACTTGTGCCCGACGGGGAATCGAACCGTGACCTCCGGGTTCACAGGTGGACGCTCAGCCACTGAGCCACGCTGACTGGGCCTCTTCATCATTTTGATCGCGAAGCTCACCTGTGCTGTTGCATATACCAGTAATTCTTATTTTTTAAAAACACTGTGTAGTAAGTATCCTATTGTACGAATATGTCACAGTTTAGCCATTCTACTGCCGATGGACGTTTGAGTCGTTTCCAATTTTCGTCTAACATGTGCAACTTGTTCCTAATTCGGCCTCTCAAGCTAGCTCCTGTGTCCTTTCCACAGATCCCTATCACTTTTAAAAACACTTTCTTTTTTGGCCCAACAAGATGTTTTAGGCTCATCATGTACTTTCTTTGCCCAGCCCTGGAATGGACCTTTTCTTCAGGAAACCGTGTTTCCTTCTGGCGGGGAAGTATTTAGAAACCAGGAGGATCTGGGCACTGGGTGTGCCTGGTATTACTGGAACCCCGTGCCTCAGGGCCTTGTCAGCAAAGATAAGAAATAGTTTTAAAAATAGTAAACTCATATCAGTACCTCAGGTTCCAGTTCAAAACCACACGGCTCTTCCCTGCCTTCTTCCGCAGTGAGAACCCCCTGCATTAGCATTCATTCACGTGATATATATATATATATATAGAGAGAGAGAGAGAGAGAGAGAGAGTTCGATGATTGATCAGTACCTCAGGTTCCAGTTCAAAACCACACGGCTCTTCCCTGCCTTCTTCCGCAGTGAGAACCCCCTGCATTAGCATTCATTCACGTGATATATATATATATATATAGAGAGAGAGAGAGAGAGAGAGAGAGTGTCGATGATTGGATGAGGGTTTGTACTAAAACCTCTTTAGAATTCTGTTGTTCTCAAGTTGCTGTCTGCTTAAGAAGGGCCTTATTCAGTGCGGATTTGGGGGCGCTATCTGGAGAGCGTCCTTGTAGGTCTGCCATGGGTCCTGGAAAGCCCCCCCCCCCCCCGCCCGAGGAGATTATGGGGCCTGTCTTCCATAGCGCATGTCACTACCTGAGATTTTCCTGGTTATGCACAAATGTAAGCCCCAGAGGGCCCGGAACCTGGAGCTCGCCTGGCACCGGTCAGAAGCTTCCTGAACGTGCTGGGAGGAGTGAAGGAATCCCTAGGTCACCTCTGGCTGCAGCGCTTCTAGCCTGTGTTGAGCGCTTGCGGAATGATGGGCCCTGCGGTGGGCGGATGAGGGCGTGATGGAGGGATGCGGACGGCA